CGCACAGGCTTGACCGTAATGACGACGTTGTGCACTCGTTTGCAGTGACGCCTTAGACTGTCGATTTTGTCCTCTTTGTAGTGACGCCTTAGGCTGTCGATTTTGTCCTCCTTGTACGCACAGCAACACGGCGCAACCGGGCAGTGTACGTGACCGTCTTTCACGCTAACCGGGGGTTTTATGTCGTCAATTTCACGCATGAGGTGAAAACAAGACAACAACGGCGACTTTTCGTTGCGGTTATATTTAGTCGACCAATCAGCGTCTTTATGAGACTGTGGGTGGGTGTTTTTTTATAACTCCCATAAAATCCACCCCACAGACATCTGGGGTGGGTGGGTGAAAAAAAAGTTAATTCCCTACCTAAAAACACAACTGCGAACCCTGCCACCGAAGCGAGAGTTATAGTGTCTTTAGGCATGGGTCGCGCGACGGACGGTTCCTCAGCAGAATTGGAGGTGGGCACACTCGGATGGCTCCTCTTCCGGCTGATTTTCTTTCAGAATGATGCACAGTTGTGCCATGGGCAAGTGACGTCCAACGCAAACGGCCAGCACTCACTCACAAATCAACCGGGTGTGCTAGAAGTCTCTTACCAAGCTGTCACGGAGGTAGCGCAAGTTGTCGTTTTCTGCTAAGGGAAGTACAGTTGCTTCCATCAATTACCGACCTTCCGGAGCTGGAGGCGGCTCACTCACTGCTGCTTGACCGCTTACTAGGTCAACACGGAGCCCGAACCACACGAAACATCCCGCGACTTCTTAGCGGCATTGCTGGGGCGTCTACTCCGCGTCCCTCGACCAAGCGTATCTGTATTTAGCCAAACACAGGGCAACTCGTCAACGTTTCTATGGGTCACGTGGCGAATTTTGCGTTTACAAAAATGGCAATAAACCAGCTCCACGAAGCGTTAAACTCGGAGAGACATTCTGTGGCGACCCTTCGCAACCGCTAATTGGCGCGGACACGCTGGTTCCAACAGCCCCACGTCAGACTGTTCAAGGATATGTAGAAGACGTGGGGGCAAGGATGCGGGGGATGGTTTTGCCGACTTGATGAGCGAATATGAGGACGAAGAGCTACCAAAGCTCCACAGAGTCTACAGTACAACCCCTGTACACAACCTGCTCAAAGGCCCAGTTGAGAGAGGTGATGAACTGCTTGAGGGAGATAATGCAAAAAA